TTTGTAACGTCACCTCACACGCCATTAGTAAATATCTTTAAGGAAACAGAAGTCTACTCAACACGATGAGCAGAGATAACAAATTTTTGGCTGTCATTAATAAATACTCCGACTTACTCAAGGAAAGATATTACATTAAATTGCGTCACCTGCTACACAAGGAGAAGAGCAGCATAGATGAAGTTATTCGACATACTAAAGACAAAATTGCATATTTTAAGTACCTCAGAAATGCCCATATATATGAAATGGAATATAAAAAGACAAACATGAAAAGGATAAAAAATAACTCCAAGTGGTTCGCGTTCAACAAGAGATGGATGCATGGAAAGAGGAACAAGGTCCACAGAATTACCATCAAATAAAGACACGATAAACCATTGGTCAGAGCTATTTGAAAATATAAAGCCACTTAAAAAGGACAACCAATACGTGAAGGATGTGTGGGAGGACCAAAGAGAGAATATTTTAATGCGAAACATAACAAAGGAAGAAATGGAGACAGCACTCGAACATATAGCAAATTGGAAAGCACCAGGAAACGACAAAATCCAAGGATACTACATAAAATACTGCAAGTGTATACATGATGCACTGCTTAAAATATTACAAATACCCCGACAGCATACCACAAGAGATGCTAATGGGAAGGACTGTGTTAATACCAAAAGGAGGTGACCCCAAAAATCCTGCAAACTATCGTCCAATCACATGCCTCAATATCATACTAAAAGTCTTTACTTCTATACTGAAGCAAAAAATTAAGAAACAACTAGATGTCAACCCAACTGGACAAAAACTGGAATACAATCAATTGGGCTGCAAAAAGCACAGCTACGCCTCCAAAGAAGGGTTGTTGCAAAATATTTTATTCCAATCGGCACTGAAGAGAAGTAAGAAGAAATACCTCGAAGCATACTATGACATGAGGAAAGCATACGACAGTGTCAACCATGAATGGTTATCAAAGTGCTTACAGCATTATAATATTGCAGAGGAAATCATCTGCGTCATTGAAGACATGATGCACCGTTGGAAGATAGCACTGACATATGATGGAAATGTCATAGGACAAGTGAAAGTAAGAAATGGATTATTACAAGGAGACTCTCTGTCACCTTTACTCTTTGTAATATCAATCGACTGTATATCAAAGAGGTTAAATGAGATAGTTAGGCCAGTGGAAATACAATCAAAACTTGCAGACACTACTATCAAACTGGGTCACACATTCTATATGGATGATCTTAGAGTGCTGACATCATCAACAGAAGAGATGCTACAAACGCACAACATTGTCTGTGAGTCATTCAAAGCCATGGCAATGGAAATCAATTCTGCTAAATGTGGAGTGGCAGCACGATATGGAGCAGTAATCCCAACGACAATGCAAAACATCCCAAGGGTAAACAGCGACAATCCGTACAAATACTTGGGAATCGAACTTGACGATAAAGTCGACACAGACGCCTACTACGCGAGAATGGC